TACATCATAAAGATGGAACCAAGATATAAAAAAGAGAGATACACTTCACTGATCATCATATCATTCATTTTGACATTGTATTAATGAAATATTTTGGCACACATGAAATATAACTATTATTTATTTTCAAAATTATGGTAAAACCTATATTCACTTGGTGTTGTTTACTTGTATCTTCCCATTGTTATTTAGGACTCCAATTGATTAGTCCCTTGTTAGCATATGTGCATCCTGTACGGACTGCCTTGATATTACCTGAAGTCACAAGCTTTATTAGCAAAGATGGATAGTGGCTAGCAGTGGAATCCAGTTTGACGCACGTTTCGTCCTATCTGGGACTCATCAGCCGGATGTACCTGCATCTCTTAGTTGACGTTCACTCCGGGACTCAAACCCAATGCCGTCCGCTTCGAACTCCATCGCACAGTATTTACATATGCCAATAAGCGACTGATCAATTGCAGTCCTAAACATCAATGAGAAGACTCAAGCGACCAATATCAAGTGAGTTTAAACTTCACCTCAGATCTCAGTAGTTAAGTGGATAACGCGATGGCGTTCGAAGCGGATGGTATTGGGTTTGAACCCCAGAGTGAACACGAACTCTGAAATGCAGGCACATCCAGCTGACGAGTCACAAACAGGACGAAACGTGCATCAAACTGGATTCCACTGCTAACTACTATCCATCTTTGCTTATGATAAAACAATTTGAATAGTATACAAATGACAAATAATGATGTATACGAATTTCCATACGGAATCATCAACAGGTAGACAGACTACATTAAGTTTATATGTTCTTGAGTGACTGATTGCGTGAACGACTGACAATTATGTGACGCTCATATTCGTTTCTATGTTCCAAAGTAGAGCATAAAAACACATTCAACTGGTATCAAACAATATTTCCATCGTGAACTAAGGAGGAACAACTAGGGTGTGATATCTTACTGTGAAGACAATTACTACTGATCTAAGCTGTGCTGATAAGTGCAGGTTTTTTGATTGAGATTCATGGCATAACTGTAATCACTAGTTGAAGACTGTAAGGGATATGAATAGAGACCATTTACGATGAAAGAGGTTCATTTGCATTGTTTTAATCGTTCTTTTAGTTTTGAACATAATCTGATACATCAGCCTTCGTTTCATATCATGATATCATTATTTTTACTACTGTTTATAACATTATATTCACTTAGCTGTTTTAGTCATTTAGTTGTTTACTAGTTTTCCTATGTTCTGATGCAAAATATAACAATTTCGTACTAGATTTGAGGTTGTTGACATCCATCTATCTTGTTATGTGGTCGCAAACTGATTCTCATTAAAATTACAGCAATATTACGAAAACATTTTAGTACATTAATCTAACTAGTCGCAAGTAAGGACAAATGCTCCCCATGAATCCCACCGTTCAATACACTGAAAAGGAATGCTTGCATGACTTAACTTTATTTCATAAATATTCACTCATAGTCATTTCGAAATCAAGAAACCCTGAACAATTGTTTCATTTCCACTTCGGATTTTTATTCTTTTCAAAGATCGTCAGTGTACAACACTGAAGAGTCCTACATTAGGATGAAACCATTACCATCTCCCTATTAGCTCTCAATAGTTGTTCAGTTGGTGCTAATCCTTGAAAAAAACTTAATTTCAGTTTAGATTTTTTACTTTTCATTAAAATCAATTACAGCTAGTCAATTTCTACTATGAGAAAATATAATACGCCTAATAGTCATAATATAATACTCCCTCTAATCAATACCATTTGTTTGATTACTGTATATAATTCTCAGTACAAAATATGCAATATTCTAACAAATTCGCGTTTTATAAGCATCCAACCGGGGAATATTCTAAAAAAATGTCTAATAAGCTCAAGAATAATCTTGTGCCCATGATATCTATGCCTACTATGTGCGGTGCATAAATTCTGTCAGTCAGTCACAACGTAAGACCAGGCACATATACGCATCGTTCCAAGTTGCCATACCTCATTAGCACAACAACATGAACACCGATTTCATAGAAGTAGTTAATTCAATGGTGGTAATATATAAAAGAAAGATGGCATATAAGGATATAGTACAGCAAGAAACAGTTAATTCGTAGAAAGTAAGATATGAAGCGATTTTAATCTCATAGTTTAAGGGATGACAGAGAATGTATACATCAATGCCATTGTGATCGATTTTGAGCCATGTCAACCAGAGTCTCCAACTATTGGTTACGATAGTCACGCGGACCCCAACCAAGTGATCTGTATCTACCAACATGACTCAGACTAGAAGTTAGTGACTTTAAGCACTGATGCCACGTTTTGTTCTGGACACCCCTAACTTTCTTTCAACCATCCCCAACACTAGTCAGCATTGCACGTCATGGTATTCCGTATTCAGGCATTTTCTCAAAAGATAAAGAAGAAAGGAAATATATGAACCACTGTAATGGGACCGTTTGAGTTCTTCAGTAATTAAATTTTTGATAAATTGTAAACATTTATAAATACTTATCGGTTTACCTTGTTGACAGACAGGTTGTTGATAAAAAACAATCCTAGTAATAAATGGATGTCTAAAAAAGCGGCAATCTAGAAGTTTGAGAAAATCTCCCAGTTAGATAAACTTAATAACTATAACAATAAAAATGGTCTTATAATTAGTTCGAATGATATACAGTGAACGAGAAAACAGGCGAGGACAACCAGCCGTATTTTGACAACATTACAAAATATCTTGATCAAGTCTGAGAATCATACAGTTAATACTTCATTTGCAAAATATTCATCAATTTTCTCAGACTTGACTGTTCCTTCATCTCCATACCAATCTCTCTTTGTTCTCATTCTCTTCTCTTCAATTTTCTCAACCTTCTGCCGCTAGACATTCCACTTTTGACTGACGATACAAACTACTTATATCTGTCGACATCAGTAGCACCCACCAAAGACACAGTATAGAATTTTCTTTTTTTTTTGTTGTTTGTTCTAATACCTAAAGTAGATTAAAACTTTGAAAAACAGTTCATTGAAGTTCTGTCACATTCAAGGATATAGTGTTTTGTGAATAATTATTTTCTAGATGGAAAAGTACTATGAAAGTGTTATAAATGAAGTAAGAGATAGAAAATGTTGACTAGGAGAGTGAAAAAAGTTTTTTTAAAAATTTATTTTGAATACAAATACTATACATTGTTGGTTTGCATTTCTGCAGTTTAAGATGTGTACAAAATATTGATAACGAATTGTATTGGGAAAAAATGTAATAAGATAGATAATTGATAAACACTTCAGGTTTGATGTAGTATGACATTATTGAGCAGTGAATATCAATGGCTTCGCCGGGGATTAAACAGCGGACTTACAATTTTTTCACTGGACACAACCTTTAGATCACTGACTTGTCATCGAATGGTTAACATTCCTAATTTCACTTATACTGCGATATTGCATAACCAATCAAGCTAGTGTTTCACACCTAACATGGCTGAACCTTCCCACTAGGACTTCAGGAATTACCTTTTGAAATTAATCAACAACAAGCACATGATACTTATTTTAGTATAAGGAGTTCTGTTATTTTACCTTAGTTTTGTTCATTAGAATCGATTGTTTTCATGCATTTTTTTGGTGATTAGTCTCGTTTTATAATATCTCGAATTTTTTATTAAAGTCCCTTAGTAATCGAACTTTTCACTTTGCAGATTACTTACCTACTTATACATGTTACCCCCAATGTAGCATAGGCCGCCGACCAGAATTCTTCAATCCTCCTCTGTCCTGGGCCTTCCTTTCTAGTTCTATCCAATTGTTGTTCATTGTTATGTCTGTCTACATTTCTCGGTGTAATGTGTACTTCGGTTTTCCGCCTCCCCTTTGACCTTGAGGATTCCAAATGTGGGCTTGCCTCGTGATGCAGTTGGCTACCTTCCTCGATGTGTGTCCTGTTTACTTCTAGCGCTTCTTCCTAATTTCTTGCTCCGCTGGGATGTGGTTTGATCTCTCCCGCAATACGTTATTGCTGAATATGTTTGGCCAGTGGATCTGAAGTATTTTGCGTAGACAACTATTAATAAACACTTGTATCTTCTGGATGATTGGTTTCGTAGTTCTCCATGTTTCCACCCCATACAGTAGAATTCTCTTGATATTTGTGACTTTCGTGTTGGTTGACAGTTGCTTTGAGCTTCAAATGTTCTTCAGTTGTATATATCCTGATAGTTAACAGTTGAAAGTCTAATGAATTGGTCATTGCATTCTTTAATCAAAAGTAATCATTAAATTTGCAATTTTGTAAAAAAATGTCCTGAATTTACACCGAGTGTAGCATTCCTCACTCAACTAATTGAATATATAAATATTGGTATATTGATATTTCTTCGATAGTTATCAGTATAGGGTTGTGGAGACTATTAAGTTTTTGATTTAGATCATGAACCAATTGATGTGAGACCATCATTGAAAACCTTGAAGCATTGGACAGCCGTTTCGCCCTATTGTGATGCTCCTCAGAAGCGCACCGCCATGATCCCGCCTCGCGAGATTCGAACCTAGGACCTACCGGTCTCGCACGCGAACGCTTAACGTCTAGACCACTGAGTCGATATTCAACGGTGTTAATATCTAACCTCAACCAATCTACGAAATTGCGCGACCATCTTCCATCACACTGCTGGGTGTCCCACAATAAGACAAAACAGCGGTCCAGTGGTTTCAGGTTTTCAATGATAGTCTCACATCAATCGATTCATGATCTCAATCATTTCGTCGATAACACAAATAGCTGTGATATACCTGAATGTATGTTTATGGGTATACATATATATATACATTACACCAACAAATGGATAATGATGTAGTTAGTTTTCTATTTCCGTTTCTCATCAAGAACACATCATCACCTAGTTATTGTTTTATCCTTTTTCCATGCGAAAAAACAAAACAATCAACACAACACAACACAAACAAACTATACATTCTTGTCTACTTATAGAGAGTAGTTCAATGAATGATATAACTAAATTGAAGACAACCAATTTAAATCATCAACAATTTGAACAATTATTAATAGATAACACAGTGAAATATACTGAATTAAACAACAATAATCAATCATCAATATCATTTCTAATTGATAAATTGAATATAGAACAATCATCGGAACAAGCTTATATTTATCAATCAATTTATTCACGTTATCCAATCACTATTAAAAATATAAGCTCATATCATCAAAATAATAATAATAATAATAAATTGATTACTAATAAAATCAATAATCCTATGATCATGAAAGAATTATTCAATAAATTTGCAAAACATGAATTAATATTAAATCGTGAACCAACTTATTCATTTTATATACCAATACAATTATCTACTACTGAATTGAATTTACATCGATATAGTAAAACATTACCAAGATATAATAATAAATATGATATGATTATCCATGTCAATGATTTACATAATTCATTAGACAATAATAATAATAATAATGTACAATATGATATGAATATGAAACAATCAATTAGACATAGAATGTGTACATCGTTACCACGTACAAAACATGCATTACTTTATTATTCTCAACCAATTAGTCCAAGAATAGTTTCAAATTCTTCCATAGTAGAAGATCAACGACAACAACAACAACGAGATATTCATTCAGAGTTTAGAAACGGTGAATATGAGTTATACAACTGGCTTTTTTAAAAAATTGTTTTCTTCTATCTTCACCATGCGAGTGTAAACCATATGCTTATAAATTAAGGTTGATTTAAAACTGCACAATCATTTGATTAGCACATAGCAACAATGTAATATCTATATCTATATATTGCATAATATGACTCTAGTGATTTATTGCCTATATTTATGCGTTTGATTAGCTTTTGTTAATCACTTTGATTCCTCGAGTTTTCTTCTAGCTTATAACTTTTTTTTAATGGAAATAGATTAGTTTGTGCCTTGAAAGTTGCTTTGTGTTATCTTTTTTTAATTAATGTATCATATATTATCCTTAAATTCAAAACGGAGAATAGCAATCCAATCACTCTTGATGGCGAAACTCTGGAAGATGTAGAATCCTTTACATACCTAGGAAGCATCATCGATGAACAAGGAGGTTCAGATGTAGACGTAAAGGTGAGGATTGGCAAAGAAAGGGTCGCATTTCTACAATTGAAGAACATATGGAACTCAAAACAGCTTTCAACCAATATTAAAGTGAGAATCTTCAATGCGAACGTCAATATAGTTCTACTATACGTAGCTGAAACTTGGAGAACTACTTCAACCATCATCAAGAAGGTACAAGCATTCGTAAATAGTTGTCTACGCAAGATACTCAACATCCATTGGTCGGATACCATCAGCAACAACCTACTGTAGGAGAGAATAAACCAGCTTCCAACTGAAGAAGAAATGAGGAAAAGACGATGAAAATGGATAGGACATACATTACGCAAATCATCAAACTACATCACGAGGCAAGCCCTAACTTGAAATCCTGAAGGAAAGCGTAAAAGAAGAAGGCCACATTACGTCGGAAAATAGAAGCAGATATGAAAAGGATGAATAACAACTGGAAGGAGCTGAAAAGGACTGCCCAGGATAGGGTTGGATGGAGAATGCTGGTGAGCGGCCTATGCTCCTTCACGAGGAGTAACAGGCGTAAGTAAGTAAGTAATCATATGTTGCTAAAGTTTCCCTAGATTTGACTAATAGTTTTGTTTTTTGCTATAGAAACTTAAGAGATCTCCAGATAATTAAGGATTTGAAAAAAAGGAACACACCTTATATTTGTTACTTAGTTTTATCCAGTTCACAACCTATTTTTGTTTTATCCTGATGACAATAATGAGTAGTTACTGTTAGAATCTATTTATGGACTAATACGATACATATATTATTATTGCATAATTGTCAAGTAACTAAACTATGTATATCCATATTCCTGTAATTATAAGCTTCATTTTAGCTTATAGACTATTATTATACGATTTATCATTCTTGAGTTATACCCTGTCTATTAATTGCAGTCTACCACATTCACAGTTACATTTGGCTAAATCTTGTGCAAATTTTGTTTCCTATTTTATAGTACGATGTGATCTGTTTGGTTTATATATAAACCCGGTATGTTTGAAATACATGATTCATATCACAGAGGCTGAGATTGATGTTCTGAACTTAACAGTCAGGACTAGGCAGGAAGCAGGACCGATAAGGACTTTAGACTGCTCGTATGTGTTCTATGCGTCATTGGTTCGATCGATAATTCGCTGCTCTCTAATTGGCGGTAGCATTACGTTATGTATTAATAGGGCACAAGACCACAAGTTATAACAATTTTGTTTTAAATATTATAACTGAATTAATCAAATACCGTTTTTCATCTATCAGTCACAATTTAGATGAAGGATTTTGGGAGAAGTCACTGTTTACATATGTTATACGATCTGTCTAATAAATACTTGAACTGAATTATTCAGATTACTAGTTATATGGACACGAATAAACAAACACCTAATATCAATGTAGTTTAACTTTTACTCCTTAATTCATTATGATCCTTGTAATCTGTCTTTATTTAGATAGAAATGGATAAAAGTATGAGAGTTACCTCATGAAACACTTATTTTTGATACATATTTCATGGTTATTGGTAACTTGATCTTAAAGTTGGACTACTTTATCTGCTCGGCAAACTCAAAGTATGATTTATTTTTGCTCCAAAAATAGAAAATGGTTATATGGAGATGGGGTTAAAATTAGTTTGAAACCACAGAATACAACTTACAACTCTAACTTCTGAAGATATTCTTGTTCAAGTTAGATATTAACACCGTTTGATGTCGACTGAGTTGTCTGAAGGTGAAGCATTCACGCGAGACCGAAAATCCTGGGTTCCAGTCCCGTATGCGAGATCGTGGATGAGCACTGCCGAAGGGTCCCATACTAGGGCAAAATTGCCGTCTAGTCCTTTCAGGCTTTCAATGGTGGTCCAATATTGATCGGTTCATGATCTCAATGAAAAATTATTCTAAACAATGGAATAATAGATAACACTAGTGTACTGTAATAAATGGGAAGCAATTCGAATGATACAAGATTTATTCACCCTATGTTTTGCATAATAAAGTTTTGATGATACGCATTTATTAGAAATATATATTTAGATGTGTTGTAACTTGCGGCGTTGTGCCCTATTAATACATAACGTAATAATACCACCAATTAGAGAACAATGATTTATCGACCGGACCAGTGACGCACAAAAACCCGTACGAGTAGTCTAGAGTCTTTATCGGTCCTGCTTCCTACCTAGCCCTGACTGTTAAGTTCAGAACATCAATCTCAGCCTCTGTGATATGAATCATGTATTTCAAACATACCGTGTTTATATATAAACGAAACAGATCACATCGTACTATAAAATAGGAAACAAAACATGTACAAGATGTAACCAAATATGGCTGTGAATGTGGGAGACTGTAATTGATAAACTGGTAATAACTCAAGAATTGTAAATCGCGTATAATAATAGTCTATAGGTCGAAATAAAGCTTGTAATAGAAGGAACATGAATATGCATAGTTTAGCTACTTGACAATTATACAACAAAAATATAAGTATCGTATTGGTCCATAAATAGTTCTCATCATTCTCATCGGCATACAACAATAAGTATATGCAATGTTGTTAAAGCTTAAATTTCATAATTCCAATAGTTGAAATCATGAGTCAATTGAAGCTAGATCACCATGGAAAACCTGGAAGCACTGGACGACCGTTTCATCCTAGTATGGGACTCCTCAGAACCTATCAGTCTGACAAATATTTCAAATTTAAGAGCATTTGACAGTTTCCTGACAGATAAATTGAAATATATTACCAAATTATTCAGAATGTGGTTTACTTACCCTCAGTCGATTACTGTTTTAGCCAATTATACCGTTTATCCAAACACAAACCTTTACTTTGATGGCGTTTTGTTCTCTGAGCTGAATGGTTTGGTCGTGGAGCTTTCATCGTTCTTCTGAACGACATCATCAGCACAAACTTCAGATGAAAGTGAAGTGTTCGGATTCCTCAACATTTGATTCACAGCTCGTCCTGTACACCCCGACGTTGATCGGTTCTTATTGACCTTGAATTTGTCATTGTTTACTTTTTTGTTTTGGTTGTGTCTCCCATTGGTTTGATTCTTGTTCCTATATTTGTGCATAATTTTCCTGACTGGTTGATAAATTGGATCGATTTCAATGTGCTTGTTGATTGCTGATTGACCTGAGTGTCAGGCTTCTAAAAAGTCTCTGGTGTTTTTGGAATTTCCTCTGTCCAAGATTTCCACAATTTTCCAATCAAATGAGTGTCCGCAGTTGTCCACGTGTATTGATATAAATTGTCACAAATTATTTTGTAGATGATATTTGATTTGTCATCTTTTGTTATTTCATCCTTTAGTTTGCATAGGATTGATTGTAGTGATTTTGTCGGTTTGTTTGCCACACCTATTTCGAAGGTTTTCAGCAGTCTCATTGCGGTTTCTGATATGCCTTTTATATATGGTAGGGCAATCCTTTTGTTGATTTCTGTGCTTGACTTAGGTTCTGATGCTGCGTGTGATTGGTATTTTTCGACGAAGTTGATTGGGTAGCCGTTCTTTTACAATACGTTCTTCAGGTATTTCTCTTCGTTTTTTCGTGCTGCCAGAGTGCTGCAGTGTGTCCTTTTACTTCAACAGTGGATAATTTTGTATTATTTTGAAAGATCTTACCCATTAATGATTTGTTTGTGAATATCCCGATTTTTACCTGCATTGATAGGAACGATTACTCAATTGTAAATACAGTTTAAATCAAATTACAAATCTAACAACTTTATGAGTTTGTTTATAGATTAAAACTATAGGAATTCAATTTTCGAATGGTTGTATTTTTTAATTGTTGATATTCAGAAGTGTATTAGATCAATCTATCTTGGTATATAGGCTGCTCGAGTAAATGCCTTGAATAGTAAATTTCACAGGTTGAAATCATGAGTCAGTTGAAGCTAGACCACCATTAAAAACCTGGAAGCACTGGACGGCCGTTTCGTCCTGGTATGGGACTCCTCAGCAGTGCGCATCCACGAACCCGCTCCCTGCGGGATTCGAACCCAGGTCCTACTGGCTTCGCGCGCGAGCACTTAACCATTAGACCACTGAGCCGGCATCCAACGGTGTTAATGTCTAACTTCAACCAATCCACGAAGTTGCGTCATCGAACACCAATGTCTTCAGTGAGCTGATATCTCACAACAGACCTGGTTGAACTCCACTGGTGAATAGTCCCTGTGATTACAAATGTGATCACTGTTGTTCACTGACTTGAGGAGATGCTTATATGGTTTGAGTATCTGTATGAAAATCAGTATGGATGTAGGTATACTCAGCTGATATATCTCATACAGAGCTAAGCACAAGTTCTGAACATCTCTTTTAGCTAAAATCTAAGATATGAATCATTTAACATTGATTGACATCATTACAGAAGCTACTTTAGTCTCAACATAATAAAATCATACAAGACATTCAAGAGATATATATATAGTTATAAAGCTCTACAAATCTCCAAAATCTAATCATGTATCTAGTTGATATTTTTGAATAAAACTAAAATCAAACATTCGATTGATGATACATACTACTTATAACTGTCAACAACAACAATAGCACACATCACATGATAACTTAAGAGAGTAATAAAAATTAACCAATCAAATTATTGATTTAGAAAGTTTTCAGTAGTTACTATATTCATTGATCTCTTGCATACTAACAATTCCAAGAGTTATTTAACATAAATCAATGAAATACATCTTTACTGGCTGGTAACTTTTTCTTTTTATAATCCAATTTGGTTGAAATCGGTGATTAACTTCTATAAATCACTTATTATGATTTACATATAAACATCCCGTTTTTTTTTGTGTTTACCATCTTTCACCTAATTTTTTGAGTGCTGTGTAATGTTTCTCCACTGTGTTTTTGTTCATTGCCTATGCACTTATGTTGTGTGTACACATATATATCTAATGTTATATAAGTATGTGGTGAGTAGAATTAGCATAAATGCCGTTTTTTTATTGAATAGTTTAAGAAATCCCACTCATCATAAAGTTGCTATAACCTCCACACACACACATACACACACAAAATACTGATTGCGTAATTTGTGCTAACCCATACACAAATTCATAGTCAGTAACTTGTAACTTTCATGTTAAGTAATCTATATCAACAATAACAACAACAACAAATTCCTTTGAATTATTTTACAGGAAGTGATCTAACCTATCATGAAAAGACGAGTTATTCAGACTTTTATTATAAAGGTATGTATTACAGTCCCATTAAAGAAATACTTTTCTTATTTGAATTCTACTAAGAATTATTAAATAAACAAAGAAAATTGTAGTTGAGATCATGAGTCAATTGAAGCTAGACCACCATGGAAAACCTGGAAGTACTGGAAGGCCGTTTCGTTCTATTGTGGGACTCGTCAGCAGTGTGCATCCAATATCGCGCCTTATTCACTCCTTCCAGGTTATCCATGGTGATTTATCTTCAATAGACTCATGATTTCAACTAGTGAAATTACTAAAATCTTCACAAAACCCCTTCTGATGCTGAAAGATTGCCTAATTAAACATGTAATGAAGCCCATTAAATTTTCAGTATTTTTACGCTAAAATACCAAAGATGTGTGAAACATAGAACAACACATGTAAGCGAACAATTGTTTTCAATTAGATCGTCATCAGGCTTTATTGTAGTATACATTAATATTTTTACGAAAATGTTACACCAATCAAGGCAATTCGGGTCAATAATCATAATGAAATAAAATAAGTCACTGCACATAATAGGTAGAAATTCATGTTGATAGTAGGAAGACAAGTGTACTGATCGTAGTAAGAATAATAAAGTACGATAACAAAAGTCTTATCAATAGTTAAGCACTGGAAATAAAAGGTCAAATGTGGGTATATAGACTTAGTGTTAAGCGCTCGCGCACGAGACTGATAGGTCCTGGGTTCGAATCTCGTAGGAAGCGGGATCGTGGATGCGCACTGCTGAGGAGTACCATACTAGGACGAAACGGCCGTCCAGTGCTTCCAGGTTTTCAATGGTGGTCTAGCTTCAACTGACTCATGATTTCAACTATTGAGACTTAGAATAGTCATCACAAATTATTAAAACCATTATTTATTAAGAAGTGTGTAAATAATTAGATAGTGAAGAATACAAACGGAAAGAGGTGACAAATTACAAACAAATATCGGGTGTGAAAATAATGTTAATGGCAACAAAAAAATCGTTTGTTAAGTTATAACTGGCTATGGAAGGGATAGAGGGGTCACGAATTTCTTCTGTACACAGAAATATGTGAAGCAGTCAAGTTAAAGTAATTTTTACACCATTTGTTACCACAAATATTTCATTCGATAAAAAATAAGAAGTTCGAAGGAATTTGGTATGGCAATTTGCACTGGTATATGTACGTACGAAGTTCTACGTTGTTGTTGACTAACTAACTTCACATAGTTCATTCAGCTCTGTACGAAGGATTAAGAGATATTTCCGATCATACTCAGTTTTATTCAAGGTTTGAACTTTTAGGTTCTGCTTGCAATATATTAATATACCTATTTTCAACTTATGGCAAAATTATTTTCATCTTAGAAGAAAGTTAATTTTACTGTTTCAAAGAAGAATGATTACTGAAATCAGATAAATAATAAATGGTTATTATGAGCAAAGATAGATAATTGCTAGCAGTGGAATCCAGGACGCGCGTTTCATCTTATTTGGCACTCGTCAGCTAGATGTACTTGCATCTGGGACTTGGACCTAACTCCAGTCGTTTCAAACGCGATGCCAATAAGAGACTGGTCAATTGTAGTCCCAAATATCGATGGGAAGATCCAAGTAACAATGTGAAGTGAAATAAATGATTATGTTATTCTTTTACTACTTTAAATAAATAAAGTAGTTCAAAACATCTCACTAAAGATTTAGGGGATACATTCAACATTAACACCCTTCAACGTTTTAATAAAAACATATTGTAAAAACAATCCTGTTTGATCTTTTCCATCTAGTAAACATCGCGCACAACTTACACACTCACAACCTTCATATGAAACTACACAAAGGACACACGTTATCATTGAATTAGTTTATTAGCGCACCACAGTCAACGTCAAATTGATATTCACATTATCATCACATTTATTATACATACACAAGGATAGTTACGGCGTTATTTTGACCACTTTAGTCAAAACCTTTGTATTTATGTCAATTAGGATATAATTAAACAATTTAAGTCTTGAATGAGTTTCTTATTTATCACTTACAATATAGTTCCAATGGTAATTGGTAATGGTTATTGTTATTACTTGTGCTTACTTTGTGTTGTTTAGGAATGTTTTTCTTTCATGTTGTCTATGTTATATCACTAACTATCATTGTTGTTGTAAATTTTATGTTGTATATTTATTCGTCTTACTTTCTTGATTTATATCCACCACATCAACACTTGCCAACGTTATCTAATCACCACCTTATTACACATTGAAAACCAAACAAACAACATCATCAAGTAGATGATCCATCAACTGATAGAAGTGAGGAATTTATAAAAACATTCACTAAATACAAAGCATCATCAGAAATAAACTATTCAACAAAGAATAGAATTCTTTTAGATATTGATCAAAATCAATCACCTATTTTAACAGGACCACAATTATATCCATCATCAACTGATCTAAGTTCATTACTAAGTCCTAAAGGTGATCATTTCAAAAGTTATCTAAATAGATACGTTGAACGATCAGAAAAATATTGGAGTCTTCCAAAAAGTTATTTCATAGCTGATGAACCGATTAACAAAAATGAAACAACTACTAAACAATATGATTCAATGAATGATACATTGAAAGATTTTATATATGATAAATTCAAACCGTTATCACCAACTACAGAAGCAAAAACTGATATAAAACTAACATCAAATCAAGATAAAGACGATTTACATCTTCTCTTTTTAAAACCATACAAATCTTATACAACAATTACTACTAATGAAAAGAGCTCACAACGAATTAAAGAAATAAATGAAAATGAGAAATTCAACACTGATGACCTCTTAAGTAAAGCATATTATGATGAAATGAATCGATTGAGTAAAAGAAAATCATTAAAAATGGATGAATTAAGTAGTACATCAAGTTTAAGTATATTAGCAAAGGCATATGAGGAACAAATAGAGAAGCATAGAAAATCGATTTCAATCAAAGGAAATGATAGTAAAACTACTACTGATGAGTTAGGCGAACATAAATCTTTATCTAAGCCAATGAAACAAATTAATGAACAAGAGAATAAACTAATGCAAAGTGATATATTGTCTGATCAACAAGGGAATAATTTAACTAGAGATGAAGAAGTTACAAAGTTTGATGTTCAAAAACCGTCAAAACCTGAAGAGATTCCGAATTTACCACCCTCTGTATTAGACATTAATAAACGTTTAGAACAATATGATCGAATAAGTAAGCATAAAGATTTAAAACCTGACATTACACATCAACTTGTCACTGATGATAAAATTTCTGGAAAACCACATAAAGATCATCTCAATGATCTGATGTTAAAACAACAAGAATTAAAGCATCATCGACATCCTCCTCCTCCAATTCATCATCAGAAAAGTTCTACAAAGGATGAAATTTTGGAGAAATCCACTGATGATACACATAAACGTTCATGTGACGGTCCAATGTCATTTGCGAAATTCAAAAAGAATATGATTTCAGATAACCTGCCAGTGGATGAAGAGCATAGCCATCATCAAGGTCGCCATCTGTCTCATGACGAGTCAAAAGTTTTTTCAAGAGATTCAAAGTTTAGAAAGCCAATACATAACAATGAAGGCCAAATTGGAACTCCACTTGCTCCTAAACATAGCTTTGAAGACAAACATACCAATAAGAGTAAGATGGAGCAACAAATAAAAACGGAAAATCCGAAAACACAACCTTTGGATACAAAAGCTTCACGTAATTCAGAAGAAAACCATGGAGAATCTGTGAAAGGCCAAGGACGAAGTGAACTTGTTAAACGAAATAAAACACATCATCAGTCACTAAGATCTAAACAAAACAAACCTCATACATCTATAACTTCAAAAAATGATCGTATTTCATCTTGGGTTGAAAATAGTAGATATCAAACAAGGCAACTATTACAAGATGGTATGATTGACGTCGTTCCTCAGGCTCAACCTCAAAAATCTGATTTGAAAAGACATCAGTCTTTAAATGAAAAACGGAACTCCTACAAAACTGATGACAAAATGAAATATAGGCATTCTGATGATCCTTCAAAGAAGTCCATAAAGAAGGACAGTATAACTTCTGATTACATCGCTTCTAAACTACCTAAAGCACATTACAAATTAAATGATCAGAAAGATCCTACAAAACCATTGGATAGTAATCAAATGAATAAAATTGATAGTTTAAAAGATACTCATAAGAAATCAATCATTGAAAAACAACAACAAGACCGAAATAATAAAGATAATATTGTAAAAATACCGGACATAAAACAGGAAGAGAAATATCCATCTAAAAGTGTGCGTAAACAACATCCTTCCAATGAAGTAAATAATCTGGATGTCGAACAATCTGTTGGAGAAATTCCACATCATTCAAAGCAGTACAATCCAAGTAAAATTAAACAACCCTTAAAAGAATGTGATGGTAAACAGTCAAGACTATCAATAAAAAAGCAAGCATATACAAAAGATAATGATGATGATGATGATGATGAAGAAGGCAAGAGAGAAAATCTTACAAAAAACACTGATGAAGTATTAAATCAGTCGAAACAATCCAGTGAATTAGATCAACATAAAAAAAGAAAAGATAATGTACCATATCGAACAGGTAACTTGAGTTTTTTATATGCTTAAATTGTAGTGCAGTTATAAAATTTAATAAATTGATTTACTGCTTAGATACTAATAATCAATTCAAAATGGTAAGACACTTCCTTTTAATATATAATAATTCACATTTTACATTGGGTTATGTAATTCAACTGGGTGAACGTTATGGTCAATGGTGTTAACCAAAATATCTTTACTTGATATTGATCGGTGTAGTCTCATAGACAGCTTTAGTAACCACAGACTATTAAATGGAATATATATATATATATATCACAAGAGTATAACCAAAGATAACAAATTAACAAACAGTTATTGGTAATAAGTTTTGTTTCTATGAACAGGTTTTCATATATGATGTTGTTATTCGTATACGTTGATGACAGTCTAATTGTTCACTTATATGTGTTGTTCCAGTTTATGTTTTTGTTAACTTCTTTCTGTTCATTATGCACATGGTAACTGGTGTTAGTATTTCTGTTTCTTTTTAGTTTCGATTATTTACTTTATAGCATGTTAAATTCTCATTATTACTAATCAATTGTTCATACCTAAATTCATCAAACTATGTATGTTAAATTCTTCGCTTCATGGCTCACCTACTTGTGAGTAGTATGAAATATTTCGAGAAAATAACAAGATAGTAACTCATCGAAGACAATGGTGGGTGTGTCGCGCAATTTCGTGAATTAGTTGAAGTTAGACATTAACACCGTTGGATGCCGGCTAACTCAGTGGTTTAATGGTTAAGCGCTCGTGCGCGAGACTGGTAGGTACTGGACTCGAATCTCACGAGACGGGATTGTGGATGCGCACTGCTGAGGAGTCCCATAATAAAACGAAACGGCCGTTCAGTGCTTCCAAGTTTTCCATGATGGTCTAGCTTTAATTGACTCATGATCTCAAATATTAAAATAACAAAAAAGCCTCTGTCACATTATTCATGAAAACATCATTGTTTCTCAAACAAGTTTCTTAGATAAATTTTGAATATCAGCGGGGATTGTAATGTTTTCTCGATCAGAAAATTTTATTTCTGTTCATCACTTCATTGGTGACCAGGGAACTTTTTGTATCATCTCCCATTATTATTCACTCCATCAATCATTCTATACGTTAAAGTATGTTTAGTAGAATTTCGGTTTGGTTTTTGAATGTATAAATTAGTTATCACTTGTTTTTATAAACATCACGGAGTTACTCTCAAACAATTACAATAAATAATAACTACTTCTAAGTAATATCATTCAATTTTGAGCTACACTGTAGGTTTAAACACTAATTATATCATCCAGTTGTTTTAGTCAAAATAGTTAGAACGGGATTAGAACCTATGACCTAGTAGTAGAAGGTTGATTACCTGTATTACTAGGTTATCAACCAATTATGTTTCTATGATTGACAATTCTGACGACGTTTAGATTTATTAAAATAATAGAGTAAGACATTAGAATAAATTGATCTGTATATCTTGTTAGTCTGGAGCATACAACCTACTTAACAGATATCAATATCAGAAGCGGTTTTGTGGAGATTTTTAGAAATTCCAATAGTTCAAATCATGAGTCAGTTGAAGCTAGACCACCATGGGAAACCTGGAAGCACTGGGCGGCCGTTTCGTTTTATTATGGGACTCCTCAGCAGTGGACATCCACGATCCTGCCTCCCGCGACAATCGAACACACGACCTATCAGTCTCGCGTGCGAGCGCTTAACCAATAGACCAGGGAGTTAGCCGGCATCCAACAGTGTTAATGTCTAACTTCAACCAATCCACGAAGTTGCGCCACCGTACACGATTGTTTTCAGTGAGTTAATATCTCACAACAGACCTGGTTGAATTCCGTTGGTAACGGCTTCTCACTAGAACTCCAGGGAATGCCTCTTGAAGTCACTCACCAGTCCCGCGCGCGAGACTGATAGGTCCTGGGTTCAAATGTAGCGGGAGGCGGGATCGTGGATGCCCACTGCTGAGGAGTCCCATAATAAAACGAAACGGCCGCCCAGTGCTTTCAGGTTTCCCATGATGGTCTAGCTTCAACTGACTCATGATTTCAACTATTGAGATGTCAATATGTTTATTTACAAAGGTTCAACTTTATAACCGAGGCATTTTAAACGATACTTCACTCATAAAAATCAAATAGATATTATTAAATAACATAGTCCTTTTAACAGCTTTGTTTTGTTAATAAATGCTTTCAATAGTATTTATTCTTGATACTCAAAACAAAACTCATACATAAAAGACTTGATCAATAAATACATGTTTCAATGAATACAAATCCTCAATGTATGGAATTTTCTGAAATCAATTGAACTGCAGAAACATGATATCTTCTGTTTTACTTTTAAATAAATAGTCATTACAATAGTTGAGATCATGAATCAATTGAAGCTAGACCATCATGTGAAACCTAGAGGCGTTGTTTGACGGCCGTTTCATCCTACTGTGGGACTCTTCAGCAGTGTGTATCCACGATCTCGCCTCGCAAGATACGAACCCAGGACCTTTCAGTCTCTCGCGAGAGCGATTAATCATTAGACCACTGAGCCGGCCGGGATCCAACGGTGTTGATGTCTAACTTCAACCAATCCATAAAATTGAGCGACATATCCACCATTGTCTTCAGTGAGTTGCTCCACTGGTCACTGTTTCTCACTAGAATTCCAGCAAATATGTATTGGAGACTGTCACTAGTGAGCATATGATGATTATAATCAGAGAGGGGTTTTGTGAATATTATAGTAATTTCAATAGTTGAGATCATGAGTGAATTGAAGTGAGAACACCATTGAAAACCTGGAAGCACTGGATGGCCGTTTCGTTCTATTTTCATTAGATAATTACTAATTGGAATGTATAAACTTTAGTCTCGTTTTTTTTTAAATACCTTATTAAAAACATTAACTGCTACTTCTTACATGTTCTATTTTAATGGTATGTTAGAATTTCGACGATAGAAAAAAAAGACAGTTTACATTTATCTCTAGGAATTTTTTTTAGAAAAAAACCCTCTTAGTAACTAAAGATAAATGAACTTTGACTACATAGAAACAATAATATAAATCATGACCAAATGTTAAGTGAATATTACTAAATATATCGATTTTTTTTAAAAAATATAGCCATAGAAACAACTGGCTAAATCTTCATGATAGACAGTACGATTATTATTACTATTATTATTATTATTATTATTAAGAGTTGATGAGAAAATCTCTACTATATGGAGACTAATCATATCTAATAGTTTTTTTGTTGTTGTTCTAGCGTCAATCAATTTGAGTTGTGAATATCTATCACATCAATTCTATTCGAATTTATTCAGTATGGATTTATGAGAAAAAATGGTGCTTAACTCAATATATCCATGGTGATTAGATATATAAGTACATAAAAATGAGTTACATTTGTTTAAATACAAAAAAAAAGAGAATTAATCACTAGGTAACATGTTGTAATCTGTAGTTTTCGGTAATAAAGCAGCACTGATATATATATATTAACGGATGATATATCTAATCTACTTTTGAAAAATAATGAGCATACTGCCTAACATTTCACTTTCTATTCAATCACAGTTGTGAAATATAATTTATGACGACAATTGGGGGTGGATGTGTCGCTCAATTTCGTGGATTAGTTGAAGTTAGACATTAACACCATTGGATGTCGGCTAACCCAGTGGTTTAAAGGTTAAGGGCTCGCGCGCGAGACTGATAGGTCCTAAGTTCGAATCACGCGAGGCGGAATCGTGGATGTGCACTGACGAGGAGTCCCATAATAGGACGAAACGGCCGTCTACTGCTTCCAGGTTTTCAATGTTGGTATAGCTTTAATTGACTCATGATCTCAACTATTGAAATTACTACAATCTCCAAAAAACCCCTTCTGATATTAATTGGAAATTAAACTTTTTTCATCGTAGGTGTCTTAAAGGATTCTTCATGTATATATGGATTTACCAATTGAATAATATTAGGTGTATGATGAAAGACAGAAATGATGACAAATACTTTTATTGTTTTAGTAAATCTAAACATGTATTACATATACTTAGCTGCTGCTTACACTCATATTTGGCTTAGAAGTTGAACGGAAGCTAGGATCTTCTAAACCAAAACATACCATCAGCTGGTAAATTCAATGACTGTTGAACCCAATTACCCGAAATTTTTATTTGTAATTCGTGCAATAGTTGTTTTCCATGGGGAAAAACATTGAGTAATATGGCTTAAGATCGATTACGAGAGTTCAGATCTATTCATGCCTTATTAACTTCTATATCCTGAAGTTAATATCAATCCTACATTTTTATCATTTTCAAAGTGTATTGCTTTTATTTAATTTATTTCTGAAGCTGATATTGTTTCTCCTTCATTCTCCATCATCCAGTAAATTTTTTTATCGCAGTACTCATGTGAGTTTTGATCACTTCGATCGACATATATTTGTATGAGGTTATGGGTTGTTTATGACTCACGGATTGTCTGACCTTTAATATCTGAATGGTCATAATTAAAAAGAGTTTAATTCTAAGGTATGATGAGTCCTTTTAAACTAATCAGTCAAGATTGTGTGTTGTCTTACTCATGGACCGATATTATTAAGTTTGCTATTGAATAATTGAGAACAATAAACAGTGGAGATAGTGGAAAAGATTTGCAGCTCAGGTGGATGATTTTGACGGAGTTTTGTTTTCTAAGCTGAATGGTTTGCTTGTGGAGCTTTCACAAACTTCAAGTACCTGAAGTTTGTGCTAATGATGTCGTTCAGAAGAACGATGAAAGCTCCATGACCAAACCATCCAACTCAGAGAACAATACTCTATCAAAATGAAAAGTTGTTTTATAATACTGAACTCTTAAGGACGGTATCACCATCTATTTGATAGGGTAGTACCCACCGAATTCGTGTCTCTAGGTGAGCAATCAACTCTTGTATCAATTAGTTTAAATACGATTGTTCACATTTCTAACTTAAATCAATTTGGA